TTTGTATTTCAAAATTATATTCTATTGAAATGTTTGAGTTTGCTTTTTTGCCCATTTTTCAGTGATCTTTAAAACACCAAGACACGTTGGGCATGAGAAGAGAGACACTAAATATACTTTTAATGTGAGACTCAGACGCAGTTATCCAGGTTATAACTGAAACTCACTGAGAGTCACTATTTCTGGAGAAATGTGTTTAGTTAAAGGTTTGAAATATGAAAGTCCATCATCTTCCATTGAATTGCGGTGAAGGAAGGTCGTTAAATAAATATTTACATTTTATGCTGCATCATTACTTTATTCTTGAATAATCTCATTTCTGAATGCAGAATTTAAATGGTCCATTTGAAGCTAAAGTACTTGAAGTAGATTAGACTTGAGTCATTTTTGGAGAGGAGGGGATATCAAGGGTGTGATTTAGGGGGAGGGATGAAGGGTAATGTGTTGTCTCTGAGCAATTACTGAACATTTACATTTCTAAATGCATGCTCCAGACATTTGGAGGAGGGGAGGGTCTGCAGGAAGTGGGGAGGGGTGTGAATGAGGGTTATATTTAGCGTTAGAGCTGCAGAGCTGCAGAGTTTATCTCAGAAAAACATCCGGAGAAGAAGCATGGAGAGAAATAAAACAGCAGGATCCTCCTCTAAGGTCAGTTTGCAACACTTTGTTGTTCACCAAATAACAGAAAAGGGAAATGTGTGTTAGAACCATGATACTCTCCGTTTTTTCTAAGGGATTTTTCTAAAAGCAAAGTGCTTTGTGAGAAGGATTTCTAATGGAATTTTCCTATTTTTCTTTTCTGAAAACTTTGAGCAGGGGCTCCTGGACATTAACTTATCACTGGGACAGTTATTCTTTGTAAATAGACGGAGGGTTTCAGGCATATTTTGACGACGACCTTAGTCTTACAGTAGCTTGGCCTATCAACAGCTAAAGCCTGGTACTGCATGCTATTTAGCTTAAGCTAGTTGGCAGCAAAATGCCTTCGTTCTCTACAGATGACTTCTACAAAAGATGGCCCTGTTGGAAATGAAAAAGTAATGGTTGGAAGTTAACGTGGAAGTGAATGGACTATGTGCGGGAATGACACCACTTTACCAGTGTTGCAAAATAATGGAAAAGGGCATGCTAACTCACAGCTAGTTAGCAGCTACAAGGATTCAAAGGAACAGGAGGGCTGTGTACTGGGTAATACATCTATAAGTGGTCGTCCTCCCTGGAAATGTCTGGATGCAAAGCCTAAGAGTAAATCATTTCCATGGGATTTGGGAGGACAAATAACAGGCAGAGCCCAGCGCTCTGAAATCTGTGATGCGACCGGCTGGCCTGCATTGTTATCACCCAGGAAGAGCGCCTCTTCAACCCCTCTTCATACTAGGAAACAGCCTGGACAGCTGCTAAAGGGAGAACTACAAACAATCCTCCTAAACCACAGAGTGTGCCAATCCAGAACAGATACGCTCCGCTGACCGAGAACCGGAGATCTCTTTCTGATGACCTGGATAACCTGTCCTCTTCACACAGCAGGGTAAGGACCAATAGCTACTCCAAAAGTAAAAGGCTAGAGGGAAAGCTAACGGCTGGGCCTGAAACTCTGATTGTGGGTGACTCTGCTGTAAGAGATGTAAAAAGTCTGTGTAGTAAGAACAACACCAAAGTACTCTGTTTTCCCAAGGATATGGTCTCTGACTTGGCTGAGAAGATCCTGCATATTGGGGCTGAACATCCGACTGTGAAGAATGTGGTACTGCACATTGGAACAAATGATGTTCTGAAACAACAGTCAGAAGTGCTGAAAGAAGACTTTAAATGTTTGTTGGAAACTGTCAGCTCTCTAAATGCAGAGGTGTTCATCAGTGGCCCTCTACCTCCAGTCATAAGAGGAGTGGAGAGATTCAGCAGACTGTCTGCACTGAACACCTGGCTTTCAGCTGCCTTTACTGACCATTCGGTCAATTCTATTCACAACTTTAACTTGTTCTGGGATCGCAGACATCTTATAAGGCAAATGGAGTTTGCCTGAACAAGTCAGGAGTGAAATTGTTTATCTCTAACATATACAACTGCCTGCCTCATCAATCTGTTCCCTCTTTCAAGGACAAGCGGCAAGAGGAATCAAAACAGGAGAAAGACACAACACATCGCGCAGAAAACCTTGAAGAAGTATCACTGCACTGCACTGCTGAGGAATGTTCTGATTATGGGAGAGTCTCCACTGCCCGTCACCCCCCCTGTCAACGCCTTTGAGGATACTCTTCATTCATCCCCCAGCTCTCTCTACTCTCCGCTCACCCTTTCACCCTCGCCCTCCCCCCTGGAGTTCAATGACCGCATGAAGGCGATACGCAGGGTTGGCAGCATGTCCTTTACCCCCGCCCCTCAACGACGCCCACCAAAATCACAGAAGCAGAGACGCGCACCATCTCTCCCGGCTTCATCACCATGGCTACCACAATCATCCAAACCAAAACAATACAAGGAAGATGGAAGCAGATTTCCAAACCCCCCTTCCTACAGTGTAGACCTCACCCTGCCCTCCTATGATGAGAGGAGCAGGGTGGTGGGTCCTCCCACCCCTTCAAAGCCTGATAGGGATGTGTGTGTACAAAACGCTGCAAACTGATATTCGCTGGGTCCAGGCTCAAGGGCGTATGGCACTCTCATCTCTTTCCAGGACATGCCGGGGCCCTGCCTGCCAGTAGCTTTGATGATATCTGTGTTGATAGGTAATAGATTAAGAGGAAGCGCTCAAACGTTTGTGTGAGTTTATCACATTTAGCAGTGACTCCATGTCAGCCACAGCTTGTTACAAAATACCTGACTGATAGTGTGTTCAACAAACTTAAACTAGCTTTATTAAATGTCAGGTCTTTGGCAGGAAAAACATGTTTAGTCAATGATTTTATCACTGAGCACAATCTGGGTTTTATGTTTTTAACAGAAACTTGGATTGAACAAAATAACAGTGCAGCTGTTCTTATCGAATCAACCCCTCCCAACTTCAGTGTTATGAGTCAGGAAAGAATGCATAAGAAAGGAGGTGGAGTTGCTATTCTGCTCAATGTTTCCCTTCAATACAGGAAGACACCTTAGGGAACTTTGCTTCTTTTGAATATGTGGCCCTTCAGCTGAAATGCTCCTCTCGAGCTCTGTTCCTAAATATCTATAGACCACCCAAATACTGTGCAAGCTTTTTTGATGACTTTACTGAACTGCTGTCTATAGTGTGTATTGACTTTGACCGTCTAGTCATTGTTGGTGATTTTAACATCCATGTTGACAACCCCCAGGACAGAGGGGCTAAAGAATTGTTTTGTGTTCTAGATAGCTATGGACTGACTCAGCATGTGACGGAGCCCACGCACAATAAGGGGCACACTCTGGACTTAATTATCTCAAAGGGTCTGAATATCTCTGAGGTTGTGGTGACTGATGTTGCACTCTCTGACCATTCCTGTGTTTTCTTTGAGAGCTCTATGTCTGTTCACAAAAATGTTCAAAAAGAGGTAACCACAAAGCGATATTTAACTGAAAATACTAGGGAAATGTTTACTCAGAATTTTTCTTCCACACTCGCCCCTGCTAACATCTCAGTAAATGAGCTAGTAGATCATTTTAATTCAAAAATTAAAAATGTTATAGATGCCATTGCTCCAACTAAGGTAAAGGAAGTGACTGGCAAGAAAATATCTCCATGGAGAAAGGCCATGACCGTGAAAACAGAAAAAAGAGAATGTCGAAAAGCTGAACGCAGGTGGCAAAAAACAAATCTCCAGGTTCACTTTGAAATCTATAAAGAGAGACTTGGCCTTTATAATTTGGAATTGAAAAAATGCACGACAGTCTTTCTACTCTGACATCATTACCAAAAACAAAGATAACGCACGTGCCTTGTTTGCTACCGTCGACAGACTAACTAACCCCCCAGTGTCAGTAGCCTCTGAATTTCTATCCACCAGGGAGTGCAATGATTTTGCCTCCTTCTTCACTGACAAAANTGAACTGATATACTGTTGTGTCTTTTGTTGAGGGATCCAGCACCCCTGACATGAGCGTCAGCCTTGGGAGTTGGGATTCAGCTGTGTTAGGCCCTCACGACGTGAGGGCCTAACACAGCTGAATCCCAACTCCCAAGGCTGACGCTCATGTCAGGGGTGCTGGATCCCTCAACAAAAGACACAACAGTATATCAGTTCATTCCATACAGATTCATACAGATAATAAAAACACTAATACTCTTGCGAGATTAGTAATTGGAACAACAATGTAAACAAAGGCATCAAAAACGAACTACTATAACAAACCAAAATAAGGGAAACAAAACAGTAAAACAAAACAGCAGTGGCGGACAATCTATAAAAGAACAAAGCACATGTTACAGAAAGGCCGCCATAAACATTAACTTTGTAAAAAACCATGATCGCTCATACCTTATGTATCTCGAACAGCGCAACCCCTTACACACACACACACACAATACTGCTGGTCTTGTCACTGTCCCAGTCTGCTGGAGTAAAGTGTAAAAGTTAAACACCCAGAGCCTAACATGTCACTACCTCGATAATTGTGGAGACTTACCGGAAACGTCTCGGTCGAACGGGAAAGAACTATCAGGTATCAGATGTTTAAATATTGTTTACAAAGTGAAGGGAATGCGGAAGTGGGCGGTACATCTGTAGCACAATACTACAGTGGCCAAAAAGCGGTTTACCTCTGTGGTCAGCTACACT